ATTATTTATTTGTTACTTACCACTTCATGGTGAGCATGTTATCATGCTCCTTACCAGATTGAAACCATTATTTCATGTGCTTCCATTTTTATGAAAGAGTGTAGGTTTCTGGTGAACCAGAAGTTATCTGTGATTGGACTATAAATTGCCAAGTTGTAGCTGACAGGAGACACACAAGTTGATACCTGATCAGTATCGGCTGGGTCACTGTGGAGAGGGGGTATGATGTTGAAAGGCCTGAAACCCCTAATGAAGCTCAGCTAAAAACATCACTGATGATGTGTGCCAAAGCAATGTATTTCATGAAAACTAAAGTTCACCCAATTAAAAGCTCAAGAGGGTTAGTGAATAAAGTGTATGATATGAATGTATGAGGAGGTAGGAGGAAGTGAAGAGTATGAGGATGAGGAGAGATAACAAGAGAACCTTAACTTGAGGAAGTTAAGATTGTAGTGTTTATGGAGGCATCTATGTGACAGTCTGTTCCACAAAGCAGCATTTCATGGGAAAACATTATCTGCATATAACTTTCTCCTTAAAAATGGAATATTAAAGAAATGAGGGTGATTCAACTATGTGGATGTGGCATGGTGAATCCTAGCTATAAGTGTCTGAACTGATGGAACTAATAGAGTAGTGGTAAGCAGCTCCAACTCTGGACTATATATGGTGACAAAACTCCATTTTTGGTTTGACTTTTGTAATAAATATTATTATCAAAATATATTGAAGCATTTTGTAAAATTTTTGTTTAAAATAAGGAGATATTTGAGAATTTTTGTTTTGTAATTTCTGAGATGATTATTTTATTTGAACTATAGTTATCTTGATTATTATAGATTCTATTATATATATGATGTTTCAGTCACATACTCTCTGTCCATCTTCAGATGTCCATTACTGTTTTTAGGTTAGGGATGAAGAATTCTCAATATACTTTGAATTATTTGATTTATTGAAACTATAGTTCTCAGCATGATTATTATAGATATTATTATAGACATGACATTTCAGTGAAGTAGACTATGGTCATCATCAGTGTTTTTGTTTTTTTAATCAAGTTCATCCCATGAGGGGAAGTAAAGGCACTGAGACACAAACGGTTGCTGGGTGGAAAGAGTTAGAAACAGGAACATTGCTAAAGGGCAAGAACTAAAGAAGAGTAATCAAGAGGACAGTAGGAAACATTGCATGTAAATTTTTGAAGATTTAAATTGGCTGGAAAGCATGGAGCCAGAAGGGAGTTCCACAAGTAAGATGTGGGAGAAAAGAAACTGTTAGCATAGAATTTACAATTATATCTAGCCAGGTCAACTGTAAATTGGTGAGACCTCATCGCCACTCTAGTATTGCATTTAAATTCAAAGAGTCTATGAACCATAGTGAAGAGCTCATCTAAACAATTATCATGAAAGTATTTATTGAAAAGGCAAAGGGAGGCAACCTTACAAAAATGACTGAAGCTGAGACACAAAATCACGGCTGATAATATTGCTGATTATTCTTTTGATCTTATCAAGAAGCTGCAGATAAATAGCAGGAGCACTGGACCATATGTGACAGCAATATTCTAAGCATGGGTAAATGATAGACTAATAAATATGTAAGATAGATGACACAGTGAACTAACTTTTCTAACAGCGGATCAAGCAATTGATTCAATATAGTCTTTTCACTTCATGTCAGCTGTTTGCCTAAAAAAGGAATTTTGAACTGAACTGAAATGAGTGAGCAATAACTGAAAAGTACTAAATAAAAAGAACTAGATGATATCCCTGTACATAAGCAGTGGAATGAGAACAGTCTATCCCCTGTAGATTAAATAAAGGGTTCAGTTCAGAATTCCCTGTAGGTTACCCAGATTGATATACACCTAAAGAAGGATGGCGGGTACAATAGCCAAAATATTGTGATAACAACAAATATGCGCACAACTTACCAAATATAGTGTAAATAATGAAAACTCAACTTCCTGGAAATTCAGACACAAAATATTTTTAATCAACATTATCCACCACATTAGCCTTATGATCAGGTGTGGTCATAGGGTTGCTGTGCAACTGCAGGCATGACCAGTTCCCTCCATATATCTGGGTTGAAAGAAGTATTCATTTATGTATTGCATGTCTTGGGTATGTAGACCTAATGGAGCCCATCCCTTTCGAGGTTAAACCACAGCCAATGCCCTCCAGTTTGAAGACTTACCTTAAATGTGGCTGTTGATTCATTCAGGGGAAACCTCTATCCTGGCCATTGGCTTCAGTCTAGAAAGCCTTCCACCTAGTGATGCCATGTTATCATGGCATACATATTTATGGAGCCTAGTCTATTTTATTGTGCAAGATGGATGTAAACCATATGAGAAGCTTTATCTGTCCTTTGATGGATATTTTTGATACAACCTAATAATAAACTGGTGATTTAATACCATCATCATTATAATGATGTTTTTTTTTCCTCTTTTCATTCAATATTAATGGCAGACTTAACCCCATCTTCACTGTTCTGAGTGTAATATATTCCCTTCCCTTTCTTTTTCTCATTTACATGATGATGCTGCTGCTAATGTTGGTCTCAGTTCCCAAGTGTTAGATGTTATGGCAGAACAAAAAGAATATCGAATGTTTGATTACTGAACTAAGACAGGTGCAGTTTATCACACATTGTCTTTCTTCCAAAATAAAACAAATTTAAAAGATAACGAAAAATGTTTTACTTGAAATCTGCTCTCAAAATCTCTGGAAAAAAAAAAATGGTTAATTTCCAGGAGTGTTCAATTGCTCAGATATAATCCTGAAATTCTATTCTTTTTATTGATTATATTCTTTAACACTGTTTTTTTTTTTTTTGCAGCTGATGGATGGGATTGGTGGTTGGTCATTTGTTTTTCTCACTGAAACAGATTCTAAATCTGGGGTGGAAGATCAGAAAACCAGAGTATCCCTAAAAGTTGACGGTTTGTAATGCCAACTTCTTCTTTTATGCAATGTGTCCCTTCAGGACGTTGGCGATCATTGCCTTCCACATCTTCCTGTCCCTTGTAGCTCTTAATATGTTTTATCTTTTTCTTATTTCTCCCAAACCCTGTTCTTTCAACCATTTACTCAAGACCATCAAGTATGTCATATGCTGCTTTCCTTTGTCCCTCTTTTCTTCTATCTGTCCTGTGAGTATCAGATTTTCCAAGCCTTCTATCCTCATTACATGCCCCAGAAATTTCAACTGCTTCTTCCTGATGTTAAGTATGAGTTTCCTTTTTGTTTCCATTCTCACCAGAACATTGTTGCTCACATGTTCGGGTCATGGTATCCTCAGCATGTTTCTGTAGGACCAATTTTCTGTTGTTTCAACTCTATCAATTTTTGTCAACACAAGAATCAAAGTAAAAGAGATGTGGAAGGGTAAAGGAGTGAAAATTTGATCTTGTAAAAATATTCAACTCAACCACAAATAGAAAGAAGTAAATAGATAAAGTGTAAATCCAAATTTTCTATTTTAATTATTTCATGTCAAGCAAGGGAATAATGATGTAAGAGTCACTCACATCATACCAATAGATAGCCTTGTGTTCACAGGAATAAAAAAATACAAAGAAATAGCACTAAAAGCATGTTAAATTGTAAATTAAATTCATATAATTTTATTTATTTTTGTGTACTGGTGTGTGTGTATTTTAGTTATATGTGTTTTAAGATTGCATGTAATAGAGGAAAAAAGTCACTTGACAAGCAAGATGGTGAGGAGAGGAGACGGATATTTTGACCCTTTCAGGGTTGGTAGTGAAGAGTTTGGCATTTTTTGGAACAAAGTATCTGTTTTCTGTTGCATGCTGGGAAAACTGTTATTATTTTGGTTTTATTTTAAACAAAGTTTTAATATTATTTGTTTTATTTTATTTTATTTATGATGTTTATTATTATTATTTTATATTTTTACTTATTAATAATAATGTCCCTAGAATGCCAGTAGCATGCAAGGATTTACTGGGAGTGTGTTGCATCTTGTGTTTTTGAGATAACAGAGAGAAATAAATAAAGAAGACAAACTTGTAGGTAAATAATGAAATAGAAGGTTTACTACATAAAGGTACACTTAGCAATTGACCTAATGTTAACTTGGTATTTACCCAAGCTCCCCACAGAACAGGATGTGGCACAAATCTGGTTTAACATGGGTTTTTCTGAGCCTGTAGGCCCAGGCAAAATTCCCCACGATTCCATGTACCATATGACAGAGTGAAAGAGATTGAGAAGAGCTTAGTGAGGTGAAAGGAGAATATAAAAACAGAAATTCAAGAACAAAAAAGGTGGCAATTGGCATTGCATTTAAATCTTTGAAGATTGTAGGTGGCAGGGATCAAGACATTGGAAGAGAGTTCCACAAGCGAGAAGTGCAAGAGAAGAAACTATTAGAATGAAACATATGTTTGCAGCAAGCTAATTCAAAATGATGAGACCTAGTTGATAAATAATGTAAAATGAAAAAAAAGAAAAAGGATTTGTATTTTTTCACTGTTCATTTTTCTTCATCTCATTACAATTACTGATTGCAATTGATTGCTAATCAATAAGTGATAGCTTTTCATCACGTTAATTCATCCCTGGCAAGTGTCAGCATTATTCCAGAAAGTTCTTTGTTCTGAAGCTGATCGAATAAGGATCATATCATCTTGCCATTCCTTTGTGACCATAATGCTACAGGTTCTTTATTTTACAGCCATGTCATCACAAAAGCTGAGCTTCTCCTGCATATTGTTGTTCACATGAATAATGCATATTAATTCATTAAAAAAAGAAAAACATGTATGAAGATTTGCGCTTGCATTTCCTGGATGGAATGGCCTATAGGAAGAAACCTGATGGTAAATAAATAAAGAACTGGCAAAGGAAACAAAAAAAGAATGAAAAAGAAATACTTTATGCAGGAATTTGGTAATTAAGATAGTTGGGTATGAATCTCTCATACAGGGTTTAGGGTTTGTTATTTCTTTTTTATTGCAGTTAGAACCTGATTTGCAACTTAGCAGAACCCCTCCTCCCCATGCACCACATACAGACATATTATTGGTTTTGTGCAAAATTTTCTTCTTTCCTTTCTTTCTCTTCTTTTTTCTTTTCCATCCTTTTTCTTTATTCCTCTACTTCTTGGACAGGCATGACAGCACATAGGCATTGTAGACTACCATCTTTGTGTACTTCTTATATATATATATATATATATATATATATATATATATATATATATACTAATAGTAAGGTTTAAGCATAAAATAAGATAAAAGCTTAAAACATAAAATAAACCAAGTGCTCAGTGCCAAAGTCAACAGAGACTAAATATAATATATAATAATAATATTATTAATAAAATAATATCAAAATCTGCTATGCAGAGATTCATGCAATAAGAATCATCAGGCAGATATAATCTCCATCTGATGATTGTCATTGCAAGGAACTCTAGTAGAATATTTTGATATTATATATATATATATATATATATATATATATATATATATATATATATATATATATGTGTGTGTGTGTGTGTGTGTATGTTTAATAAGTTTCAAAAAGTTCAAATGACTTATCTGGTTAGTAGAGTTGTTTATTATATATATATATATATATATATATATATATGGGGTGTATCAAAAATACTTTTACAAATTTTGGAGATGAGTTTCTCACACTAAAAAAAGAACAAAAGTTCATATAAACATGTCCACAAATCCTTTGTTTTTGACTTAAGTTTAAAGAAAGTTTACAGTAGTTGGCACTGTGTTGCCATCTACACTAGGTTACATTTGTCATTTGTGTACATCTGTGGCTAGTCAGTCTTCAATATTTAACATGTGTAGTAGTGAGTTAACTGAGAAGTGTTCTGTTTAACAATGGAAGGATCATATCATGACCAGGCAGTTATGATTTTTACATGTGATTGGTAATGGATATGAGGCTGCATGGCTGTATCAGATTGTGTTTATAGACTGAAGGCAGCCAAGTCATCCAACCTTTCCTGCTTTTTATTGCCATGTTCTTGAGACAGTTTTCCATGGCACCACAAAATATGGATCAAGGAAGACTTAAATTTACTTGTATGTCTGATCATGAAGTACACATTCTACTGGATATTAGAGACAATTCATGTATCAGCACATGTCAAGTGGCCCTAGCATGTTGTAAATCTCATAGTACCACATGGAGGGTACTTGAAGAGCAGCTCTTGTATCTGTATCATTTGCAACATGTACAGGGTCTTTCACTGTCTGATCACTCACCATGAGAGGACTTTTGCTGATGGTTTATGGCACCAATTGCTGATCTGTTGTTTGTCTCTTCTTGTTTATGGATGACATAACATTTGGAAGAGATGGAATTATAAATTTACACAACCAATATTTGTGTGTGTATTGGAGACCCCATGATACAATACAGGCTATATACTGGCATCAGTTTATGATTAATGTGTGGGATAGATTTGTAGGAGACTGTTTGGTAGGTCTTTATGTTCTCCCAGCATGTCTTATAGGAGGTGTCTACAGGGACTTTATTTCAAACACATTTCCAGACATTCTAGAGGATGTACCCCTGTTAATATGAAGACACATGTGATGCATGCATAATGGAGGCACTGGTTGACCTCTACCATGAAAGATAGATATGTAGTGGAGGACCATGTTCCCTTTGGATTTTTATCTGTGGGGTTACATAAAACAATTGGTTTATGCAGCAGACATTAATAATGCAGAGATGCTCCATCAATGTGTCATGGGGGTCTGCAAAACTATTCAGCAACATGTGGGAGTATTTGAAAGAGTCCACCAGTCATTGATCTGACAGGTGCATTTGTGTCTAGAAGCAAGTGGAGGACATTTTGAACATTTGTTATGAGTTGCTGAGGTACAATGATGGCCCTTTGGATATATGTATATATGGACATTTTACCTTGTTTTGGTGTCAGAAACCCACCCTCAAAGTTTGTAAAAGTATTTCTGGATTGTATCATGGATTGTACATTTAACAGCATCTGTGGTAAACTTTAAATTTAATAACTCAAAATCGAAGTATTTGTGGACATATGTTTATGTAGACATTTGTCCTTGTTTTGGCATGAGGGACCTGCCTCCAAAGTTTGTAAAAGTATTTTGATATTTTGTATATATAGAGAGAAAAAATATTTATATATATATATATATATATATATATAAAAAATATATATATATATATATATATATATATATATAAATCCCCAGGCTTTAATTTTAGGAATTCTAGTCTTGCACTTTAGTTAATAGTTTTTGAGAAGTTAGTAAAATGTATCTTCTATTGGAGTAAGATATTTCAGAGGAATATGTAAGCAAGCAAAAGACATCAAAGAGGTGTAAATACATATATAGAAGAACAAATTGAAAATAAACCAATATTAAAAAAGGAAATGCTTTCAAAGGAATGACACCAAAAGCATAGAGAAAGATGTTTTTGCGTTTGATAACCAAGTTCATGAAAAGGCTAAGAAAAGGAATAAGAAAGTACAAAAGTATTGAAGTTTGTGAATTTATCACCCCCCCACCTCTGGTGTAGGTTTCTTTATAAACTAAAAAATTATTTCTGAATAATTACTCAAGACCTTAACTAAACATTTTTTAAACACAAGAACATAACTTTTTTGCCTTCCATCAGCATGGCTGATGCTATCATCCATGAGAGTGATTCATTGTGACTTCTTGGTCTGACATTTTCACTTCAGTGAAAAGATTATATTGAATCAATTATTAAGCCTTCTGCTAGGAAAGTTGGTTAACTGTGTCATTCTAGACAATTTTTCTTGCTAGAATATATCTTACACATTTATAAGTCTACCATTTGTCCAGGCATTGAATATTGCTGTCACATTTGGTCTGGTGCTTCTGTTATGCATCTAAAGAATATGCAATGTTATTGGTTCTTATATAGTGACTTTCCCACCACTGTAACAAAACTTTCCTATGTCTTTTTCTATAAATATTTTTATGTTAATTATTCTGATAAGCTTTCCTCTTTGGTACCTAGACTTTATGAATATAAGTGCAGTACTAGATTGGCAGCTAGGTCTCATCATTTTACAGATTAAATTTCTAGGTGCTAACAGTTTCTTTTCTCACACTTCTTGTTTGTGGAATTCTCTTTTGGCTTCTTGATTTCCATTCAACTTTGATCTTCAAAAATTTTAATGTAAAGGTCAGCTGTTAAATTCTTGTTCTTTTATTGTTCTCTCTCCTTAATAATGATTTTTTTCAGATTCTTTTATTCTCAGTAACCCCTTGCATCTTAGTGGCTTTATTGCCGTGTTTGGGGTGAAATTATTAAAAAAAAACCTAAAAAACCTGTTGAGCAAACATAAATTTCTCTCTTCTTCTGGGTCAGAGAATTTGGTTTTCACATTGTGTTTCTTATACTACAGAATGTATAGATGGATGAAAAATGGCAAGCCTTGCCATACTTGTTAGAACTTTAACAATCTGCATTGAGTGTGGGTGTTTGGAACCTTCTGGTCATAGAATTCTGCGATGGATTGTCTTTAAGTTTTAATATAAGAATGAAATTGCATAAAGACAGTCAGTATGGTTGCCATAATAGAAAAGTAAAGATGCCTCTCTACTCTAAGATTCTTTGATGTGTTTTGGCAGATTAAGACATTTGCTGATAGCCGATCTGTTGAGATCCAGTCTCAGTATCTCCCTCTCACTTCCCCACCAAAAAATGATGCTACTATTACCATGTCCTTCAACCACAAAATAAAGCATGTTAAAGAAAAGTCAGGAAAATGTTCTTCCTTCATTCAGTCTGTGATGCAAAATTGGGGTCTTAAAAATTGCTGACAGACTATTGGAAGCCAGAGATGATATGTCATGCAACACTTGAACATTGCACTAATTTCTCTAGAGTAAACATACCTTTAGTGAAATTCAGCATTTGAAACTATGTAAAACTGGCATGTATTTTTGATCATCAATTTGAAGTATTATTTAAAAAAAATAGTGATTAATCACATTTGAAAGACTTCTATATTTATGTTTTCAATTAATAATTAAAACCATATATCCTGACACACCCCACGCTGTATTAAAACAACAATCAGATTTTGAAAGAAAGAAAATTGTCTATCATTTATTCAGTCTTTGATGCAGTGCTAGGAAAAGCTAATAGATTGTAAGAAGCCAAAAATGACGCATAACCCAACACTTGAACATTGCACCAATTCCTCTAGGATAAACATGGTATAATAAAATTCAGCATTTGGAACTTTATAAGATTGATGTGTGTGTTATTGGTCACTAAGTCAAAATATCCTTTAAAAAAAAGAAGAAAAAGAAGCGATTAATCAAATTTGAAAGATTTATTTATTTATTTCTTCAATTAATAATCAAAACCCATATATCCTGTCCCAGAAAGAAAGAAAAGACAATCAGATTTTGAAAGCTTTTTGATTATTAATAATCAAAGCTCAAATATTCTAACAAAACAGAGGATCAAACTCAAATTCATTGATGATTCAAGTTTTATTTGTACCTGTTAATACTGAGCTATAGAATCATTTCTCTTTCATTTGGTTTCTATGGTGAAAGATTTCAAATTTTCACACTTCACTGATTTTGCACAAAGTAATCTCTGGAAGCTGTCGTTGGGAAAAAAATCAAAGTGAACCAATTAATCTGGCCACAAGAGGAAAAACAAAGAATTTGGAGATAGACGTAGGGTGTACATAGGAGAAGTGAATGCAATAACCCTTGATAATTTATTATCGCTTTAATGGGGCCCCTAATATTAGAATAGGTGTGAACAAAAAAATCAATATATCCAATGTGTAGATATACAAATAAAATGCTATGTATTACCCATGTTAATGATGATAGAGAAAGGAGTAATAATTATGATGTAGAAGAAAGGGATGACAGGAGAACAAAAGAAGCAAAAAAAGCTAAAATGGGAGTAAGGGTTATTATAATATAGAAGTAAGGGGGGAGAAAAATGGGGGGGGAAGAAAATAAAGAGGAGAAGAGAAAGAAAAGGAATTGTAGCAAAGACTAAGAGGTAGGAAGGGGGGGAAAAAGAAGAATGGCAAGGCAAAAAGGATTGGGTGAAGAAGAAGAAGAAGAAGAAGAAGAAGAAGAAGAAGAAGAAGAAGAAGA